TTGATGTAATGCAGATAATTTTCAAATGGATCCGAATAACCCAAATTTTTCCGTCAACATTTTTCAGATTTAAGTGATGATTTCCTAACCAATCCCCAGTTTCAAATGTTCTTGCAAAGATTAGAAAATACGTCTTTGCATCCTCCTTCACAACATCAAACACCCACTGAATTCCCCAACGAAAACAATGATGACGAAGAATGTACACCTCCAACTTATCACGGGAGCAACTCCCAATTCGTTGACACTGAAGAGGAAAACGTACCAAAGACGCCTCAATACCCTCCACAAGTTCCCACAATACAATCCAACCAGGTTGCTGCACAAGCATCTCGTGTTTGGTCTGTTGCGGAAGATAAAGTTCTAATTGGTTGTACCTACAAATAAGCGAAGATGCTATTGTAGGTACAAACTAAAAAGCATCTGACCTATGGCACAATGTCACGCAGCATATCAAAGAGCTCAGGCGGAAAAGCCGAATATCCGCCAAGATAAATGAAGAGTTTGTCGTCACATTGGAAAAGGTCGGCAGCAAACACACTACAGTGTATTACTTGCTATGATGAAGCAGGTGGACTTCCGGAGGGAGGGTGTAACACCCCAATAATTCTCTCTTAATAACCTGTAAATACATTTATCAATTTGCAAGAGAATTACTGACGTGCTACCGCCACATGTTCACACGTTAAGGCTAGTTCAGAGTTTAACAGCGGAAAAACTAACTCAGTTATAAATAAGTTTCAAAACCAAAAATCAAAATCAAATTTAGTCTTACAAGTCGGAACCATTAAGGCTCTTATTCAAAACCCAATAAAAGTAGTAAATAAATCAAACCAGAGTTAAAATAAATCCAAACTTATGAAATGAAATATATTGTGGAAACATCCAAAACTCCACTCAAAATCTCACCACCTTGATGCAAGTTCTGATTATGTAAAAACCTGTGATTAATCTGCTCCCCAATATTACAAGTGTAAAAATTGGATCATTACAGAATCATTGAAGGGCGAAGGCCATGACCAGGAAAGAGACACACAAAAGCACGCAATCAGCAATGCTGAATACATACAAGCTACGAATTATAACAAAGAATCCCTAACATGTTACTAAAAATCAATCAGTACACACAATCTAATTATTGACTCAAATACATGCCTCAACTGTTAACATTACTAAGACTTCACTTATTGCTAACAATAATTCATTTCATTCCATTTGTTGATTGAATTAAGCAATAGACAAGGTTGTCTCCCCATGCTCCATTCCGGAACATCAATAAAAGAAAAACCCCATGCCTCCTTTCGGAAACATCAAACATCCAATGGCAGAAGCACGCGACTCCGTGGCCATAGCTAGTATGAGATCTCATCTAACTCCTTATAGTTTTAAAAAGCATTTGTAAACAAGAGACTCATAGATCAGACGGCCTCTAGAAAGTACACGGCTAATACCCCGTGAACCCCAACCCCTGATTGTCAATACTCTAGATGTGCACAAATCCAGAGTTTTATTGCTCATCCATATTGCACTTTACGTGATTTACAAGTTTAAACTTGGTGATGACTCAATGCAAATAAATACAACCAATCACACATCAATCATTCAAACAATTCAAATTTCCAATTCAATTCTTGATTTATTAGTGACAAACAATATTTAGTATTGAATTCTTTAACTACCTCGGTGTATAAACACTTTAAGTGCATAAAACACCTCAATCCTCAACCTCGTCATATAAGACTTTAAATCTCCCTTTACTCGTTCCACTTCAATAATCATGAACGAGTAATAAAATAATTCATTCCACATATTCACGTACCTTTGCCTCTAAGCTCATCTTGCAAGTTAATGCATAAATAATACTTACAAGATAAATCAATACGCATTTCTCATACATGAAAAAAAAACCAATCATCACATTATTCACCAATCAAACTTACTACCATACAATTCCAACCAATCCACAAGTTTCCTAACATGATTCTAAGACTTCCAAGCCCTTAAACATGCTTCTATTTTGTCAAAGTTTTCGTATCCTTGTACGTACCTTGAGTAAACGAGTTGGTTGGCCACTTTAGACCAAAAAATCGTCTTCTACAAAGTCCTCTCCTAAACCAAACAATAATAATTCAATCAATATCCAAGCAATATAATTCACAGCAATACTAACTTACTTTAAAACCCCTTAAACCATTGAAATAATGCTTTTAAATTACTCACAATAGTCTAAGTTAATAATTAAATAGTTCAACTATAAGTCTATATGTTAAAATCATGAAAATACAGCTTATAACATAAAATTTCAGCAACTTTAAAGTAAGGATTATAATTTGGAAACTTAATTTAAGAATATAAAACAACCTCATAAACATCTCTTCTAGAAATAATCATTATGTAGTAGGTTAGTATGTTAAAAACCTAAAAATCCATCATAAACCATGATTTAAAACCTTTAAAACCAAGATTAAAAATCTGAAAATTTAATTTAATAGTAGAATGTATGAATACAACAATCTAAACTTGAAATATATAATTAGAATTCAATTAGTTTCATAAAAACTCAATCAAACCTTCAAAATTCAATTAAACAACACTTTAAAACCTTCCTTTTTGCTAGAATTAAAAGCTTATATATTATTCTTAAAATTTCCTACATAAAAACATTAAAATTCATACTTATTCATAAAATTACAGCAAGTTTAGAGCTTTATAAAAATCTGAAAATTTATTTTAAACATTAAACCTTTGTTAAAAATCAAAAATTGCCCGAAACCATATTTAGATGCTGAATTTGGCCACGACAGGGTGGTGTTCATTACAAAAAGTAGTGAGTTTTGATTAAAACATTTTTTGCACACGAAAAACACTATTTTTTTTTGTAAAAATCAGACGAGTTAGAATCTAAACGTGATTAAAACATGATTAAAAAAAAATTAAGAAAGAGATCAAAGTTGATTACGGAAAACTAAAAATTTGTTTTTAAATTTAACGTCATCAATTATCATAGTAGACTTACAATATAATCATGCTTTAATTAAATAACTTTAGCAACACATTTAAAACCCTAAAACATGAAAACTAATCGTTTTAAGCCCTAATTTTCTTAACTAAATAAATTTGAAATTTTATTTCATAGTTTTAACATAATAAAACTCATAAATTTATAATCTTTTATAATTTATATACATAATCAAACCATAATAATAACAATTAAATAACAAAATTGATAAAGGTTTAAACTTGGGTTGAATTAACAAAAAAAGAGAAAACAAGTGGGAGAAAGGAGAGAGGGGCGAACTGCTGTCGAGGAGGGGGGCGCGGTGGACGCCGGAGCAACAGTGGAGGTGGCTGGTGTCACCGGGCAGCAAGCAGATGTTTTTTTTTTTTTTTTTTTTTGTGGGTTTGATCCTGAATGGGAAGAAGAAGAAGGCAGTAGCAGCAGCAAGTTGAACGTGAGTTTTTGGAGTAAAAAGGTGGAAAATTTTAAGTGGGTTTAAATAATAAAAAGTGGGGTTTTGGGTTTCCTAGTTCTAATAAAACTAGGATTGTTACTTGGGCTTAAAGTGAGTGGGTTTTAGATAAAAGAATAGGTTTAGTAATTAATGGGTTGGGCTTGCATAATAATTCATGATTAAAATATGGGTAGTGAAATAATTTAATGAAATAATTTTATTAACTTTTTAGACATTAAATTTATTTGCTTAAATCATAGTAAAATAAATTATGTAAATAAATAATCATAATTAAATATTCACATAAATATGTTAAAATATAATTTTAAATTTTAAATTTCACAAAATTACGGGGGATTACAGAGGGAGTGGTTACAACGAAGCTGACCGCGTAAAAAGTGCATCAAAGTTGTTTCATCTTGCCACCGGTCACAATTTTAGCTTTCCTCACGCAGTTGAAATGCTTAATCAAGATCCAAAGTGGAGGCCAAAGTTTAGATGGTCCTTGTCCAGAGAGGAAAGAAAAGGTTGTTTGTGTTGAAGAGGAGCAAGGTAGTGATGGTAGTGGGAAGAGGTCGAGAGATGAAATAGGGGATGAAACCCTTACGGATGGTTTTTCATCTGTCTATATACGACGACCTGGTGGTGTGAAGAAATCAAAGGCTAAGCGTAACGGAAAAGCAGTGGCGTCAGAAAGTGTTTTGCCTGACATTGGAGAGCGAATGAAGGAATTCACTATAGTTCGAGAAAGGGAGGCCATTCCGAAACAAGAGAGGGTGCAAATTAAAAAGGAAAAAGAACAGAGGAAACGGGAGGAACTTCACATTCATAAGATGAAAACCATGTTTGATATGCTGCAAACTATGAAGAATTCGCCTACGCCACTTACTCCTCAAGAAGAGGCGTACAAGAACTATTTACTCCAAAAACTGAGCAGCATGAGCGATTGCGATATATGTTGTGTTGTGTTAGTTAAGTATGATGTTGTTGCTTTAGTTTTTTGTTATCTAAGTTTTTAACTAGTTTTTTTATTATCTAAGTTTTATTATCTAAGTATTAAGTATGATGTTATCATGTTATTTGTATTAGTGAAGTTTTTTATTATCTAAGTTTCTTTATCAGTGAAATCGTGTTTATTACAACATTTTCTGTTTGACAATTAACAGTGAGTAGTTAGTTTTGTTGACATAACTGGACAAGTTGCATTGAGTAGTAATTGTTATTGACAGAATTGGATAAGAACCATTGAGTAGTCACACCAGTCTTGCAACTTGTCATTGAATGTGCTTGTCAATTTTCATAGATTCCCAATTCTATGGCTGAAATTTGATTCTGTTAATTGGTATTCAACTCAAATTTGTAACCACATATTCATTTGATATTTTTGCTACATATATTGAACATACCACCTATCCACAACAACACCCCTCAAAAAATTTTATATACCCAAATAATGTATTCCAGACCATCATCAAGCTCTCATCTTCTTCAAATAATGAAGAATGTGATCAACTTGTTGATGAACTATTCACAATCCACTACCCAACAATGATAATTCCCCAAACACAATCCCAACGTACAACGGAAAATGTACCTGACTGTGAAACTCCAAGATGGGATACGAATAGGAGAGATAGGGAAATGGGGCATGAGAGGTTGTATAATGATTATTCTTTTGATAATCCTGTCTACAACAGCAACCAACTCAGACAAAGATTCCGAATGCAGCGACCTTTGTTCTGCCGTATAATAAACAAGGTTGTTGAAGGTGATGTTTACTTCCAGCAACGTAGGAATGCAGTTGGAAAGTTGGGGTTATCACCTATGAAAAAATGCACAGCCGCTATAAAGAATGTTAGCTTATGGCTTGGTTGCAGACGTCGTGGATGAATATGTTCGCATAAGTCAATCAACCGCTCGTGTTGCCCTTAAACAATTTTGTGCCGGGGTCATTGATCAGTTTGGAGCCGAGTACCTAAGAAATCCCACAACTGATGATCTGTCATGAATCTTGCATCAAAATGAAATGCATGGTTTTCCAGGCATGATAGGTAGCATTGATTGTATGCATTGGGAATGGAAGAACTGTCCTATGGCTTGGAAAGCGCAGTACGCTGGCCAGAATAAGAAGACAACCCTAATACTTGAAGCCGTTGCGGATCAAGATCTATGGATTTGGCATGCTTTCTTTGGTATCCCCGGATCTTGCAATAATCTGAATGTGTTGTATCGTTCACCAGTATTTGATGATGTTCTGCACGGTCGAGCTTCGCCAATAAATTTTACGGTTAATGGCCATGAATACAACATGGCTTATTACTTAGCCAACGACATTTACCCAAAATGGGCTACTTTCATTCAGGGTATTACGCATCCTCAAATTCAAAAGGATAAATTGTTTGCTGACCACCAAGCTGCTGCTCGGAAGGACGTTGAAAGAGCTTTCGGTGTTTTACAAGCTCGGTTTTCAATACTATGAAAACCGTCATTTGCGTATGATGAAGACATATTGGGTGACATAATGAAAGCATGTATCATTATGCACAACATGATGTCGAAGATGAGCGCCACAACTACACTCGAGCCGAAGTTCTAAGAAGCTACGACGAAGAAGATCGCCCACAGTTAACAACAGCAACAACGTCTACAACAATAACCAATAACGAGCCGTTTAAATTCAACGTTGGCCGACCTCCAAACTTCGATTTTGACTCGTTTCTGCAACGCAAGACTTCCCTACGTGATAGGGAAACTCATGTTTCTTTGAACAGGGATTTAATCGAACATATTTGGCTTAAATATGGCCCTACTAATCACTAAACAATTAAGATGTACTAAATAATTCCGGTAGAATTTCTATTTTTTCGCTTTTTTATTAATTTTCAGTACTTTGTCGTATTTTCCAATTTTTCGTTTTTATTTAAATTTATCGCTTACGGTAGTTTAACAATGTATGATATTTTCAATGTAATCGAATTATTATAATGTATTTTTTAAAAAATATTTTAATTTAAGTATGTGATTTTAATTTTAAAATATTTTCGTTTTTTTAAAAAATAACAATAAAATATTTCCGTTTTTTAAAAAATAACAATTTTTGTAAATGTTCTAAATTTCGTATGTACGACTTAAATTAAAATATTCATAATACTTAGTCTACTTTTATTTTATTTGGAGTAGTATGGTTAAATTTAAAAACAAAATAATAAATTAGTTATTGGTGTCTGGGAGAGAGAAAATAATAGTAGGGTATTGAAAAAGTAAGAGAGAGATTAGTGGGCAAGCATTTTTTTTCTCATTGGTGTGATAGTTATTGTGAAAAAACTTTGCTCATGGGAAAAATGATATTTGTTGAGAGAGACAGTGGGTAGAGAGAGAGTGAGCAGATTGTTTTTTGCCCACTGTTGTGAGTGGTTTAGCATAGTTTTGTATCTTTTGTCAAATTGTTGATATATAATTGTCAATAGTGAAATAATACGACCATGTTTAATATAAATTTGTGTTTTAGTAGAGTAAGATAGGATAAAGGTTTACACTTTTAAGGTTGTCCGATTAAGGGAATAATTTTTACGCTTGACCACGTCAACTTTATGTTGTATGATTTTACATAGTATACTTAACCCTTGACCACGTCAACTTTATTTTGTATGACTTTACAAGTATATTTTACCCTTGATCATGTCAACATTATGGCTTAACATAATATATATATATATATATATATATATATATATATATATATATATATATATATAAAAGGCAATTTTATACCTCACCTTTGTTAGTAAGGATCATTTTTTTTTTCATTGTTTGTAATACTTGTGCTTATAAGATTTTGTCGTATGATTAGATGTCCTTTTATAAATTTATATGTACGATCTAATAAGGGTAAAAGTTAATACATGTCAAGGTATAAGCTCTGAAAATATTTTGTCCGACCCTACTCGTATTGTAACCTTATGACATGGTCGTTGTCTATATTTTCTTTTTGTAATATCATGGTATTTTAAAACTTTTCTATTATGTGATTATTAGAGTCTAATCTAGTTGCGGTTTTCTATATTTTATCACCTAAGTCTCTTAAAACAGATTAATTAGTTTGTTACATAAAAAACAAAAGAATTTAATAAAAAGATTTTCATTATTACCAAAATCTAGATATCTACAATTTAAACCCTTTAATTATCTTTTTTTATTTTATTTACAAATTAACCCTGTTATTTTCCTATAAATACCCCCCTAATTTTCTCATTTCAACACACCAAAAAATCCTACAAAATCTCTCTCTAAAAATTTTCTAAAAAAAAAAAAATCCTTCTCTAATCTCTTGCTTTAGTTAAAATCCCTTTAATTTAGCTTTTTTTTTTTTTTTTTTTTTCTAAGTTATTAGCTTATAAAAAAACATCATCTAGTTTAACTAATATTTCTATTTTTATTTTTATTATCTCTAATCCTATAAAAAACCACAAAAAAATATTTTTCTTTTAGTTCAAGTATTATTGTTATTTCTTATCTTTGTTTAAACTAAAAAAATTAGTTTAATCGCTTAAGTATCCCTAGTCTATATTAAAAAACAAAAAAAGTTTATTTCTCAAGATCTAGCTTAGTTTTTCAAGAATTAATTCAAGTTTATTTTCTTTAATCAAAAATCCAAAAAAAATTCATTAGCTTTATTTTCTCTCAATATCTCAAAAATTACAAAAAATATAACTAAGACTTCTATTAATTCACTTTAATTAAGGAAATTTTATCCTTTAATCTTGGTAAGCCAAAGGTGTTATTCAAAAAATAGCTACATTGAGCTCAAGGTATTAGTCTTTTTACTTTCTCAATTTCCTTAATCACTATTATTATGCTAACTAACATGTTTGTTTCCATGTGATGTTACCAATAGGAGTGATGACGATATTAAGTGCTAAATTAGCCCTAAATCTTTCATTACTCCATATTATAAAACCAAGCCTATTGGTGAGGTGATAGAATATGGAAAAAGGGGAGTTTAGTTGCATTTGCATTTTACTTTGTTTAATGTATTAAAATATAAAGTGTTAATGCATTCATGTTTTTGTCTAAGATATATAGTAAGAATAATTTCTTTCTTAAGGTGAGTTTAAAGATCTAAGGAAGTAAGAGTTTATGTAAAGAATGTTCAAGGATAAAGAGTAACCTACCACGTCCTAAAGATCTCCAATGTAACACATCGTACGTTCTGAATCAGTTCCCTAGCTCAAATGATAGGATTTTTCAAGAGCTTTCCAATTGTATCTCACAATAATTATTTCGATTTTTCTATGATTTTTAATGGTTTTTTTTCATTCAAGCTATTTAAAATATAAAAAAAGGCACATTTTCCCCCTTAATTATTTGTTTAAGGAAATATTAAAATTGTTAAATTATTTTTAAGAAACCAATGGTGTCATGGAACTTATATAACACTATATTATGTAATTTTAATTTATGAGTTTTAATTGTTAAGTGCTCTTTTTAAGAAAACTTAATTTCATCCAAAGATGATTTTAGAAATAAAAGAGTTTTTCGAATTTTAATTTTATCTAAAGATTATTTTAGAAATAAAGGAGTTTTTAGAAATTTGATTTCATCTTAAGATGATTTCAGAAATAAAAAACGTTTTGAGAAACTTTAATTTTATTTTAAGACGATTTTAGAAACAAAATCTTTTATAATTTTGTGAACATTTTATTTCAAACCCTTTTGTAACACAAGAATGAATCATAACTTTGCATACTTGTTTTAATAATTAATGATAATTAATATAAGGTTATGGCCTCATTTCCAAACATGAGGTTAATATTAACTATTTAGTTGTATAAGGTTGTAATAATTATCTATCTCCATAAAAATAAGCCTGTATTCCATTATAATTTCTAGATGGATTAATTGACAATCGGATATGGTTAAATAGTTTATCGTTCCCTTTATTTGGAAGTAAGGCCTTGACAAGTGTCTTGTTTTATTTGGCCAATTCCATTAGCCTAAACACATAACCCTATAAACATTACAAAAATTATCCTCGAGTGATTTTAAACCCAAATTGAGATATAGTGAACCCCTGTTGTTTCACTCCAACAAATACCTTGACACACTAAAAAGTCGTCAATTGGGATGCATTTGTTGAATTGTCATGTTCAAAAGACATTTTTGGTAATCACTAATCAGGGTGATTTGCCTCAACCAAGGTGTTTCATTTTACTTTTATGAGTGAATCCGTAAAAAAATCACTAAAATCCCACTTACAAAAAATGACACTTATGTCCATTACGCAAATTAAAAACCCAATGGATTTGGTTATTTAAAATATGACATCTGTTTGAACTACGAAGGTTTTGATCCGTGAGTGGATTCAAATCCCACTATGATCGGTACGTAATGCAACATCGGTGCTCAAACCTACTTTATACTAATTATTATATCATTTTATGTGACTAGCATGCCTTAAAACTTGACTTTAAATAAGAAAATAGTAAGAGCCCGTTCTTTAGAACGGAAGGGAAGACGAGTTCCAGACGTTCGATTCTCTTAACCTAAACTCGAACCCAAGACCGTGCCTTAATTTTTTTTATTTTTTATTTTGTTTTACGGAGTTAAAAGTTGTTTTTTTTTTAGTTTTATTTCTTAAAATTAGCTGTTTTAAAATCCGTCCTTATTCGGGTAAAAATAAGGTGGCGACTCTAAGTTTTTAATTCAAAATCTTATCAGACACCTAAGTGGAACCTCTATAGACTAATTTGTCCACTAAAAACCAGGTACCGCACTACCCCAAATTCCTGTTCACAAGTTGGAATTCCCATGAATTTTGAATGACCAGGGGGGGCTAGGTAATTTATTTCCTACATTTTGTGGGAAGTGGAAATTCCCATGAATTCCAACTTCCCCCATTTTTGTTTTTTTTTGTATCAACCAAACAACTATTCAAATTACAAAATCCCATGAATTTTCATTTCCCTCATTTTATTTTGTCAACCAGACAACCCCTAAATTTCCAACCATAAATCATTAAATCTCAATCACATTCCCAGGGGGGTACTAAATCACGTCCGATATTTACCGGGTAACGCCGTATTTTAAAATAAACATACTAATATACCCCTCCCTTAAATAACCCATCAAAACTTTTTTTTTTTTTTTTACTTTTACCTTTCTATCTCTTCACCCTTTTCACCTATCTTTCTCTTTCACCCAAAATCAACCACCACCACCGGTTACCACCAAATTCAACCACCAAGAAAGCTTTTTTTTTTTTTTTTTTTTTTTTTTTTTTTTTTTTTTTTTTAAATCTTGGCGTCGACGCTACAAGGGGGGTGCAGATGTCGGGAAATTGCAAAGACAAGGGAGTCGTCACCGACGAGCAGGTGAGTCGACTTTTTTTTTAATTTTTTTATTTTCCGTCATTTTTGAGGAACGCCTGGAGATCTGGAATCTCTAGGCTACGAACGCCTGGAAGTTTCGGATCTCCGAGGG